ACGTTATACATATTTATATATATATATATATATATATATGTATAAGACAAATTTAGGATCACTACACTTTGCAAGCAACAGAGTTGAGGTACCTAGCAAGATGTTTAAGCAACTTTTTGCTATTATTTTTCTTGCATTGATTTCATCTTCTTATTCACAATATGTCTCTAGAGGCCAGTGTGAAGACAGAAAAATAAAACCAATAGAACATTTCCCACTAATTGCTGTGGTAAGTTGACTTTTACTAAACTAATTTTTACTTGTCACTTTGTTCGCGTGTAATTTGAGTTGTTATAATTTAACAACGAGCAATTAAGAATATTAGTTAATAAAACATTGGAAAAATAAAATAATTCGAAGTGGTCTTTATTTTATTCGATTAAGCTAACGTGCCTATGACGTTGAGGTTGGCTACGCCGAGATTCGTTTTCAGCAAGTAGATATCCACACAAGTGGACCTTGTTGGAGTATACGTAATCCTAAAATGTAGCATCGTGCTACAGATGGCGTTTACTGCGCCATTCGTACTATTTTCTAAAACGCATTGGAAAAATGTTGCCTGAATGTGTAGTCTCGGGTTTTTAGTGCTATCAAGGGATCGAAATTGCAAAATATGAGGTTTTTTAGAATTTCATGATTGACTTATTATTAAATTTTAGTTAGACATGCTATTTTATCTTCCGGTGTTTCTAAAATGGCTGAGTTTGCGATGTCTTTATCATGAATATAGTTTATTACCTGAAGTAACAATCCGGAGCCTTTTTGTTGAAGATATTACGATGTAATTGAATATATAAAATTGAAAACTGAACTATCACAGTAATGCCAACTTAGCGGCGTGAAATATTAATTGTTCTAAGTCATTTTTTAATTGCTCTTTCCTCTATTTTAAAACATTGTGTAACTCGAGTGATTTTTGTTAATGGTTGTTGATCTTAGAGAACGTACCACTTAATCACGTCCACCAGCATTACACTTTTAATTATATAAAACCGGCCTTGAGAAAGTCCAAAAACACGGGCGAATCGTTGGCTGCGGCTTTGGTTTGATTAAAACAGCTGAATGCAAAATAGAGGAAGAATGATCAGTGTTATTTATAAAAGTTAACTCAACTAAAACTTTTTCGATAGTATGGAAATAGTCAAGTTTTGCGCAGATGGTGGACTGTGTTTACATCCAACATCGAAGCCGACTGCCAGGAACTAAACTTTAGAAGAAGAACAAGTTCAGTGGATGAATCGCAATTCACTTTGACACAAAAAAGTTTAGGAGATGATGGGTTAGATGGCGTGATATCACTGGGAAATTATAATGGGGAGATGTAAAATTCAACAAAACTGAAGGCGTGACGCAGTTTAGAATTCTTGGGTACAATAACAATTACTATACCCTTGATTACAATTGCGTCAATATAAATAGCCAGTACAGGAGAGGTAAGAGTGATACAAAGTATTTTTTTGAAGTGAAACTTCTTTACGCACGGTAGAGTAAGTTCGTTTCATGCGAGTTGCTATGTAACGAAATCATGCAACGCATTTCCCCGCTGTCTGTCCCTTCTATGTATGCTTAGATGTTTAAAACTACGCAACGGATTTTAATGCGTTTTTTTTTTAATAGATAGAGCAATTCAAGAGGAAGGTTTTTATGTATAATACATGCATAATATAGTAGAGAAACGCTGATAATTTTAGAGGTTTCTAATGTGATGTCGTAAATAAACACATTTTTTGCGTTTACATTGCAAACGCTGGCTGAATCGTACGAGACAGATCAAAATAATGTACTACAATATTGTACATCTTAAAAGGGCCTACAAAAAAGTCCGGCATGGTATATGTCTATCTCTTAGGGATAACCCACAATAACCATTTTTTATCATTTACTTTTTAAGAGAAATAATGACTTATTTACGAAGCGATTGTAGGCAATACAGCATTAATTCTTATCCAATTAAGTACTTTTAAATACATTGTGCATTTAATATAGATCAATATGGCCCTTTA